ATCTCAACTAATAATTGTTTACACCTTTTGACGGGCAGTTGAGGAAGTATCCCTCAATGGATTTTTTAATTTATTAACATTATTACATTTAAATTGGGTCATTTAAATCCATGCCACATTGGCTTATTATAAATGCATAGCTAATACAGTTATATGGTAATAAACCACTTAACAGTAAATTAATATATTATTATGTTTAAAAGCGCCAATTCGGTAATCGGTGTCACTGCGGGTCACGTCGCCTCTCAGTAAGGGTTTGGTTAGTACCTGATCCCGATTACTCGACTTCATCGCGGAATTTTTACTTTATGGACGCCTCAGGAAAAAAAAAAAATAGGACGGATACAGTTCCAGCGCTTAATTGCGGCAGCCTCTCTTTTTTTGAACAACCAATTTCAAAAGAGTTGTATTTTTAAAACATGGGCTGTGCACCTTCGTAATGTATTTTACGGAGACATGCCTTAGTAAAGTCAGCCTTTAACTCGCAGATAATATAACGCGGTATTTTTACACATGTAGTCGACTGGAATTACAACCCCAGAAAGAGAGGGCAAGACGAAAACAAAACGGATAATACAGCTTCTAATTAGTTTAATGGTAGGGCGTGAATCGAAATATGACAATTTAAATTAATTATCTCAAAATGATGTATTCTGACGCCCATGGTTGTGGGTCTGGATAAATTCATGCATTATGGGCTAGATGTTAAAAGACGCAATTAGCTGAAGGCACTTGGCTTCCACTTGGACTTATGGGGTGGTCTAAATCCTCTCAGCTCTGGGACTTATCAGCCTTATCAATAAGACCAAGTATAGACATTAATGTGATAATAATGGAGGTTACATCACCGAGTTGATGAGACGTGGTTTCTTTCCCCAAATCTGTCTGTTTCTGCTCTGTTGTTGTGCTCGACCAAAAACAGTCTGGCTCCTTCGCTATCTGACGGTGCTGTCAGATATAAGAGCCATCGATAAGCAAAACAAACATTGATCAAACGAGGCCTGAAGAAACTCTGTAGAGGCTAATACTGCCTAAGGAGATGGCCGTCGGAAGTAGCGCTCCAAGGTAATTGTTTGAAGCGCTTTGGATAATATCCAGAGGTTTGGTTGGGGGGAAGCCAACTTGACAAGAACAGAAGGGTTTGGACAACATTTTGTGTAACAAAACAAACGAAAATACAGCCTACTGAAAATGTGTGAGAAAAAACAGTTTAGGCGAATTTAACTTTATTAATACTTCTGTGTTGTATCCTTTCTTGTAGTTTACATTAAGGAAACAGATTAATGTGCAGAAAATATTGAAAACGTGCATATGCCTAATAATTTGCAGATGCATTGAACCACCCCTGTAAATTCAAAAACCCTTTTGTGAGGGATGTACACGCAAAGGGGCATGCCGCTATTGAATTTCATATTTGGACAAGAGCGATCACACAAATCTGATCTTGGACGCGACACAGCAGAAAGTCACAGATTTCAGTGGGTGTGGCCACGAGAGGAGGTTTTGTGTGGGTGTACAGTTCTCAGCTAATGACCGCTGGAGGAAGCGATTCCAGAGCGCTGAAAGGGAACTCCGCGATGCCATTAAGGAGCCATTATAGACAGGTTATCCAATGGTGTAGTCAGGCATCAGGGGCTCTTTCGGCACCCCCATCTTTTGTCTATTAGAGGGAACAAGCACTTCAGCAGGGCACTTGGCACATGCAGTCGAGTACAGGGGGATTTGAAATCTCTGTGGCGTCCGCGTTTTGCTCGTCGACACACACCCACCCAAGTCTCCGACTGCGCTTTCTCTTCTGTGTCGCGTTTTCAGTTTCCAGCGACAATGCTTTCGAGTCCCGTGACCTCGACCCCTTTCTCTGTCAAGGACATCCTTAAACTGGAGCAGCAGCAGCACATCCCCGGCGTTTTCCATCAGCAAGGCTTTGTAATGCCAGAACTGGACGTGTCTTCCACGCCGTCGCCACAGTACCTGCACGCCGCCCTGAAGAGCTCCGAAGTGTTGTACAGCGCGGAGAAGCCGTTCTGCGCCGGGGAAGGGCCACTGAAGTCTCACCTGAGCTCGGGGGACTTTGACATGCTGAGGGGCTGCTGCGGCTCTCACACAGAGGAGGAAATGGACGCCATCGAAGAGCCAGGTGAGCTTGGAACTGGACCTGATTAACAGATCAAGGCGAATCTCTTCATGCTTATTGACAGCCAGTCTTATTCATAACCACAGCGTCGTAAAGAATTGCCAACAACGAACACAGAGAGATCCGTCCTCACAGCTATCTTTAATTATTATACTGAGAAGTAATGACAGTAAGAGTAATCGTCAGGTACCGCATATACTTTGCGGAGACGTGCCGTCTGATTTTCCCCACCAACAAAAAACTTTTAAAACAAGTCAGAAAGCCTTTATGGAATCTCCTCCACAATTCATAAGATAAAGCGAATAACCGACACAGTGTTGTAGCCATGACTGAGGTTGCAAATAAGTGCAATAATGATCGTCACAGTTGCATTGTAATGTACCGTCGGAATGAATTAAAACCAAATCGTACTGTACCTCCCATTTAATCTGACGAACTAAATCAGCGTTATAGCCTAGCCTATCTAATTGTTGGGATTATTGGCAGCATAAACGAAATAATAAACGTCCTACTGCATTAATAAATCATTTTAAGATCTGCATTTCGTCAATTAAATAGACGAACTGCACTTGCAAATCATTGCAAGCAGAAACAATAGAAAGTGACTACTGTGCGCTTAATATTTAAAAGCAAAATAACCACCATCAACACTGGTGTGTTTTTATAGTACCTTAAAAGAAAGTTTTTTCTACATTTATTTACATTAAATTTGTATTGCTTTTAAAAAAAATCTGTTATGTGGAATTATGTTGAAAATTTTCAATGTTCCCTATTTTTTCCCCAAGTTGTGCAATAAGAGCAGAGTATCCCACATCCAGACGAACGTCGGTTCAGCTCCAAAGCTTCCTCGATTGCGTACGTCTAATTAAGAGGTTTTCGTCTTCACATTCTAGGCAGCTGTGGTGCCGAAGATTCCCCGGGCGGTAATGGAAAAAAGGAAGATTTTTACCCCGAGAGACCGAAGCAGAGGCAGAGGAGAAAGCCGCGGGTCCTGTTCTCTCAGGCGCAGGTGTTCGAACTGGAGAGGCGGTTCAAACAGCAGCGCTACCTGTCAGCGCCAGAACGCGAGCACCTGGCCAGCATGCTGAAGCTCACCTCCACCCAGGTGAAAATCTGGTTTCAGAATCGGAGGTACAAGTGCAAGCGACAGAGGCAGGACAAATCGCTGGAGTTAGCCGGCCACCCGCCGCCGCCGCGAAGGGTAGCGGTACCGGTACTGGTTCGAGACGGCAAGCCATGTCTTGGAGAATCCCAGACCTACACGGCCCCGTATAACGTAACTGTTAGCCCTTATCACTACAACACGTATTACGGCGGCTACAGCAGCAGCCCGTACAGTTGCAGTTACACGGGGATGCCCTCGATGCCAAGCGTAAACCAGCCTCCAAGTCAGATTGTGAACATGAATTTCAGCATGGGCAGTGCGGTACAGCCGAGCGCCTTGAATCAACAGGGCCCCCTGCAGGCCAAGCTCCAAGGAATCCGGGCCTGGTGAGACGAGCAAGCACTCCATGTTACTGTAAATAATCGCCTTATTTCATATGTAAAATGGACTCTTAACGGAGAGAAACAGCAGATGTGATTTGGAGAAAAAAAAAACGTGAACATGTAAACGCCTTCCTACCACTGTGAAACGGTGCGCTCACAATCTGAAAATGTTCACGGAGAAGATTTTTACACCCATTTATTCGAACATATAATTTTGTAAAAGGTACTGATTGTTGCTTTGTTTTGGCTTCACATGTGTGTGCTGTAATAGTATCTCGACCATTCCTTCAGAAATGAAAGCGGTGAAATAAAATGATGATGGGTCAGAAAAGAAAGTGCTTCGTTTAAATTCTTAAAAGGAGACGACAATTACAGTATTTACAGATTCTGAAAGATAAGCAGGACGTATCCATATTTTTTTGTCTGCCCCGTGGTTTTTCGTGGAGTTTTCGGTCCTTTCAGATTCATGTCAAAACTGAATTTAACTTGAACTAAACAGTGCAGATGCGAACTTCGTTTAAATGGTTTAGATTAGAATAATCTTCTGTCAAGACAGAACAAAGACATACGCTGAAGAGAAATCACTGGTCATAAGAAAATAATAAAGAATATAATAAAGTATAGGTTCAACATAAATATCGAAAAGTCATATTTAGGTTTTCAAATCTTTAATACCTGTGGTTGTCATATATTGATTGGAAATTGATTGGTTAATTCTGAGCACACTATATGAAGGTCCACTCGCCACCGCCGTTACAGCACCTGTAAATAATTTAGATGGGACAAAATTTTAAATCCTCCTTAATTAAGATACACATAACAATAATCGCAAACCACAACACGTCGTTCCCGCTGTAAAGTCTTTACAAAAAGTGAAAACAATTTCAATATGATCGTTTTCACTCACATAAATACGTAAATTAAATTTAAGAGATTATACACTATGCGATAATCTGAGTATATATAGTAAATGCAAGCAAATTAGTGTTAATTCCACCATTTTGGTTACATCAGTTGGGAATGATAGAACGCAGGCCGTTGGAATCTGTTCGTTTAAACTGAATATCGCAATATTATTCTCAATGAAAAACAAACGAAAAAGCTTTCTAATAATCGGATTCATCGATTTAAATTAATAAATGACAAACAGGTAAACAGAAAAAAAACGAGAATGAATTTATGGTTCTGCCACCGATACTCCTGAATGAAGAGCTGAACGCAAAATTGGTTTTCTTTTCTCATTGAGGAGTTTATCGCTTTTTCGGATGCGATGAATTTCTCTCTTACAATGAATTCGCGATGACACCCAGAATAACAGAATAAAAAAAAAACATTTCTTGATAATCTTCTTAAACCAACTTTTATAGCATTAAATATTAAATGTAATATTTAATGAATGAGCAAGCATTATTTGGCAGGCCTACTATGAAGACATCTGTAATGATTTTAAGATCATTTTGTGTGCAGAAAATACGAACACCTTTAATTGTATTAATTTGTGTGTCCATCATTGCTCAGACGGGTACTATTGGTTGACAGAGCCAAGCCACTACACCTGGGCAGTGTTGACGCGCTAGGCGGGTAAAATGATTCACCCGAATCTCGCCCAGGATTCTCAAGACCTCACACTGTGCGCACAACTGTACCACACATTAGCATCGCAGTAATCAGAGAAGTTAATGGAAGTCATGAAGCTACAACAGTAATATGCAATATAAGATAACATGTAGTGTATCATTGGATGTATCGTATGTGTTATAAGCAAATGTTACGCTTACAAAACGTCAGAGCATTTTAATAATAAGGGAGGAGATTATCATAAATCCCGTAAATTTCATACTGACATAAATCCATTTGAATCTCTAAAAAATCTCATCCGACCTTCGGATGAGACGTAAAACCGAGGTCCTGACTACCTATGGTCATTAAAAATCCCAGGGCATTTCTCGTAAAGAGTAGGGGTGTAACCCTGGCGTCCTGGCTAAATTTCCCATTGGCCCTTACCAATCATGGCCTCCTAATAATCCTCCTCTATGAATTGGCTTCATTACTCTGTTCTCCTCTCCACTGATAGCTGATGTGTGGTGAGCGTTCTGGCGCACTATGGCTGCCGTCGCATCATCTAGGTGGGTCTGCACAATGGTGGTGGTGTAGGGGAGTCGCCATTACCTGTAAAAGCGCTTTTCTGGACACTCCACTCAAAGCGCATATAAGTGTAAGCAATTATTATTATTATTATTATTATTATTATTATATTAAAAGAGTGATGTAAAACAAAACGAACAGGTGTACAAATCTGCCTGGTTCTTCAGAAATTTTAGGTTCTAACCGAAGAATCGTGCTTGTGGTAGAAAGAGCTTCAGTGTGACTGTAACCTAAAGGATATTACAAAAGAATAAACTACAACCACATGCATTTAATCGAATTGGTTTATTCTAATGATCAAATATTTGTTTCTAAATTACAAATATATCTACACAAAAGTTATTTTTCTGGGTGCTCAAGCGGTCGTTTTACAGTTCATGTCACAGAAAGTAATACCTGAAATCAAAGAACCTCTGACCACAAAGGAGATTCAAATATTAAGCAACACACTCAAGAATTACCTACAGAACGGGTGTTTTAAACAAATCAGTATTGTTTTATAATCTTTTATACTTTTTAAAATGATTTGTTTAATCAGTCTTCGTTGCTTCCCCGTGTTTTCGTAAAATCACAAATTATTTTGCTGGTCCATTCTTTTATAAACTGGGCATACTGTATGTTACATCAGTTATTTTTGTATTTAAAATCGAATTGGGGGGAGACTTATGAATAGGCTTATGCGTATATTGAACATTAATATAACAATGCGGTCGTTTTTGGATACATTTTTAGAAGGATACATTTTGAAAACATCCACTTGATATTCACGTAGATTAGGGCGTTTCATGTTTTTTTTTAATTACTATTAAAGCATTGGCCATCCCGCCACTGGGATTTATTCAGTGTTATTAACGGGAGCCCACTGTCACTCAGAACAGCATTAGCCCGGAGTGTCCTCTCACACTAAGAACCTGTGCGTGGAGATAAACATCGCTGGCGACTACCTGGCTCGGCTCCGTCTTGTCCCTCTCGGTCAAGCCAGGAAACTCCAGCTCCGTCAATCTCCTGTCTATCGACAGACTTCAGGCTCGGTCGCTCAAAAAAGCCAGAAAAGATCACCGATGTAAACGAACGGTTTTTGCTCAATACGAATTTGTAGGGCAAATTTTAGAGTTTGTTACAAAAAGGGATACTGTACCGTATTTAAAAAAAAAAAAGTTCAGCCTTGGCAAATAGCAAATGAAGAACAGTCGCAAAAAACACTACTCTGAACCCTGCAACCAGACCTATTGTTTCATTTACAACAAACCCTTTGAGACTGCATGACCAGCGTCTTTATACACGCATAATCACACGTTTATTACGAGGGATGTTACTTGAAAATAAAAAACCTGCAGTGATCAATTTATTCAGTAAAAATCAAACCTTGCCGATTTCATTTAAACACCGGTAGCCTGGATGTAACATTCCAATTTATATTTAAGAAAATTTAAGAAAATCTATTTTTTATGTTTTTACTAAAACTGAAATCAATGATTACATTCCAGCGTCTTATTTCCCTTTACGAATGTTTTCTATAAAAAAAATACTTCTAAATTTACTGTATCGTGAAGCAAGCGCTTTATTTAACTTTTTTATTTTAAAACAAATTAAATCGGAACGATATTTTCAATATGGCGATGCTCATACCTCACGTTAACACTTTCTGAAGCCTTTCACGCGAAATGCACCGATTTAAAATAGGCAAATGGTTGTAAGATAACCGTTTTCGATATTTCAGTATTAAAAAAAAATTGTAGATCGGCAAATTCTTAAGGGAATTAAACGTTATTTGGCAAAATATGTAAAAGAGAAACCAGATAGTGTTCCTTTCATGGTCGGTAAGTGGTAGTTTTACTGAACAGCGTAAGTCTTTGAAGGGGTCTCTAAGATTTTACGTTAAAGGGAATCAAAAACACGTTTAAATTTTATTAAATCGAACTGGAGCACATCGATCAGTCTAATATATAACTTTGACGTACTTTGAAAAAGCATTTGAATTGATTTCATATAAAACCATTCTTAAATGTTAAATAATTAATTAATCCACCACAATAACGGTGAAATGAAGTAAAAACTTAATTTCAGTTATGTAAGAAGAAATCTGCTTTCCTTAGCCAATGTGTAGCGATAACACACTCCTTCGGCCCTTAAGGAATTAAAGATGTAAAAGGTGTGTATATTAGGGATGAACATTAAGTGCTCCATGCACATTTCCTTTATTATGAAGTACAGAGAACTTTCTACTCAAACCGTCTGCCACTTATAGAAAGAGTTTTTAGGCTTTGAGAGTGATTAAAACATTAGGCTTAAGCCCTAAATAAAGACTTGCAGGAGCTGGAAGCACTGTTTCACCATTATGGAGTTGACACTACTAAGGGTAAAATATGAATGGACACTGGTCCAGATGGAATTACTTAATTATTTTTTAATTAACAACATTAATGATCCTATTGACCAGTTAAACCTAGAAATCCAGTCACATTATTAAATACTTACAGAAAACAAAATGTGTGGACAATTAAAAATAGATGTACTGTCCATGTTTATACATGATAAATAAAGATGTGTACAATTATTGGAGAAACTTATTTGAACACATCAAACACACTCATTATATAGGTAATATGGGTGCAGGAGGTCAGCTACTTAGGTGTGTCTCTCACTTTCTGCTGGTGAAAAATGGGCTCACCAGTTGCTGTTGCCTTCTTCTGATGTAAGCCAGGACAAAGCCTGTGACCAGCAGAGATGTCCACAGGGGGAACCACAACAGGATCAGGAGATAAGGGGATGGCATTTCTCCGAGCAGCTCTAGGAGCAGACACAGTGGAGACCCAGCCACTTGAGGAGATCAGATAAAGCCATCAGGCTGGCAAGCTCTCTCGCACAAGATCGCTGTAACATGCCATGTCACCGCTGTGCAACACACTGAGTCACACTGGCACAAACTACTGTAATACAAGACTGAGGTGAACCCTGAAAGGAACCAGCTTTATGACGGCTTTTCCAAGCCTCTCAATGGGTGTGTATTGTATAACGAATACGCCCCTGCGTACAACAGGGATCTCAGCCGCCCGGGGTGAGGGAGGTCTCCTTTAGCTCAGCCGTTAAATTCCCTGTTGTGTGAGGCCGGAGACCCGGGTTCGCACTCAGGTAGTGAGGGACGAACTGGCAGGGCAGGAGAGGCAAGGGC